TTTTGTGTCAAAATCCGTGCAAACAAATCATATTTTAACATTGGGGTAATTCACTTCCGCATTGTGTTATAAAAAAATTTCATCATCACTATTCAGTATTTTAGAATAACTGGAGAAATACTGCATATCATGTCAGTGTTGGATGTGGGGATATTTGAGTTGTCCTATGAAGTAGGCTGTACAATTTTGAAATAAATATCTGCTCGTCAAATGGTAGTTATTTCATAGAAATGTTAACTACTTTCAATCATAGGAGTGTCTCCGAGACAGCCCATGCAACCATCTCCATATTATCAGCAGTCTCCTGATGCAATGGTACAGCACTCTCCATATCAGAGAGGGCATACACCGATGCAAGGCAGTCCTTCTGCAGGTTTTCCTCAAGGAAGTCCATCAAGATTTCCACAAGGTAGCCCAGTACCAAAGTTTACCCAAAGCAGTCCACAGAGATTTCCACAGAGTCCAAATAAATTCCAACAGTACCCATTTCCACAGCAGCAAAACCTAAGTCAAGGTAATTATTTGAACTCTTTGGTGATTCATATATGGGATAATGTCTTGAAGGAGGGTATATCCATTTAAGCACTGGATTAAAATCATTCTTAATTTGTTGATCAAATTTTACTGTTAACATATGTAAAACCAGTGACTTATTTTTTGAGACTTGTTCATCTGTCCGACATCAATTCTCAAACATGATGGGATAAATTTGGTTCAAAGACGAATTATAATGCTCTGTTGACCTTTAACCAACTGGTGGCCATTTTGTAAACCTTTGACCAACGAGTGGCTGTTTTGTTGACCTTTGGCTGGTGGCTGTTTTGACCGCGAGTAGCGGCTATTTTGTTGACCTTTGACCAACTCGTAGCCGTTTTGTTGACTTTTGACCAACTGTTTATCTAGTTTTTAAGATATTTTCAGGCACAAAAGCAAAGTCACGTATGGTTCATTTCCATTAAAAAAAAATCACCTTTCTTCTATCATAGATCAAGAGAAAGATGTATGAAAATTGTCCTCATTAGAGTTGATCTAAGAAATAGTGGCCATTTTGAATCGCGCAACAAACTGATGTGCATCAATAAACCATCTGTAGTGTTTATACCAAGTTTCAATAAAATCTAACTTTGATCCAGTCGACGCATGTTTGAGGAATGACAAAGGACACATGGACGTATACACGCACACACAGAACCCAAAACATAAGATCTCTCCCTTTTTTAGAGGTTTACGGGAACACAAAAGAGTAATGATTGTATTCTCGTATACCTCGGCTTTCTAAAAACATATTTTGCCATATTTACATACTTAGAAATTGGTGAAGAATGCCCTAAACTAATGCTTGTTTTCCCTTGTCACTACCTTTAAAGCTGACCATTTAATCAAATGATTAGGCAGGTAGAGAGCTGCCAGTGAATTCATTGAAAACAAATTTAATTTTGAAAATTTGCCACATGGACAAAGAAAAGTGTTCAGTTTATGAAGTTTACCAGTGCAGTTCTTTGGAGAAAGAACTAGTATTGTTATTAGTTCGGACAGTTTTTCAGATTACATAGGGTTAACAGGTTGCACTATAATTGTCTTGTTTTCATGACTGATATCCACTTTAATCCCATATTCACACTATAAGATGGAGGGCAAATTTCAAACTTTCTATTTTCAAACATGACCTACTAAAAAGAAATAGATTGCAAACACTTGCATTTTTATTTTGTAACTAATTGTTATTCAAGGTTCTCCAGCTCCTGCACCACAAACATCAATCAATGGTTTCCCCGGTTCTCAATATTCACCGGCAACAGCTCCTAGTCCTGCGGTACCTGCTGTGTCTCCTGGTGTTATGTCACCTCCACACCCAAGGACAAGACCTCCACACAGTCCTGGGGCGGCAGGTCAGTGAATATACAAATGTAGTTTTATATAATCCTATTCAGAATAAAACTCTGATAAAGCTGTTTACAGGAATTCTAGTGGGTACTATTTTACGCTCCCATTGTGCTGAGAACAAAACAGGAATTGATGATTTTTGTTGTTTTTTTCTCAAGAACCAATCACTGAATACAAATAAAACTCAATCTGACATTGTTTAATAGCGGGACTGTTATCTTGTGGTACTAATATGTACATATTGAGCCCTTTTTCGTTAACTGTCTGCAGATAAAACTAGAAACAGCAGCTAAAAAGTTCATAGTTCGAATATTATAATTTTGCTTGGTGATTAAATAAAAATGAAGGGAGTTGAATATTATAGAAATATAGCTGTAAATTTATTTATTATCACCGAAAACTGCAAATTGTATTAACCATATGAAAATTAGTGGCAAAAGTATTTTATCTTGATTTTATTTTTCACTGAAAATATCCCTTCAGCAAAAATAAAATATTCTACAATAGCATCAGTGTCAATTTTTTTAACTTGCAACCTTGTTATATTTGTCTTCAGTTTCGGCTTCGTCGCCAGGAAGTAGTGGAAAACCCTTCCAGAGACAAAAACAACACCTACAGCAGTTGCCGCCGCCACACCAACATAAACAACCACCGCCACCACATCCTCCACCATTGCATCAGAAAAAGGAACAGGAGACATCACTATCTTGCCAGGTTTCTCGACAACACCAATCCAAACTAGAACGTGAAAAAAACAGTGAAATTGATCATAAACAAAATAATGTTGCCATACTAGAACAATCTGCGACTGTGGATCAGTCGTGTGAAAATGATGTGAATCTCATTTCACCATTAAAAAGGACAGAAAGAAATAAAAGTAATGAACAATCACTGAATCTGGATTTTAGGGAGAAAACTCCCACTGGTCAAAGAAGAAAATCCAGCTCTAGTGTTAAAAGTGGACCAGTTGTCCTTCTCCAGCCACTTACAGAAGCAGTGAGTAATGTTTTTGTTTTATTGCAATGATTGATTCTCAATTGAGGCCTATGGCTGGATTTTAAGTTATGCTTGATTTAAAATTTGATTTGTAAATGTTAATTTGTTTCAATATTTCATCTGTGAAACCATCTTCTAAAAGTCGTATCTAATTGTGGGTCAATTTAAGCATGCCCACTTTCTCGTATCAAATATGAGTAACTGCTTTTCTATTGATGTTTCATCGAATTACAATTACACTACTTTTGCTCGCGCATTCATTGAGGTACAAATCTATAAACAACTTTGTGAGAGCAATTGTGTTTCTCTTGGGAATGAACAAAAGAACCCATATCCTCTTTTGATCTTCGCTTGCTTGTGTTCTGATTTATATATCATGGTGATATCTTACTATGTGAAATTCCTATTGTTTTCCTTCACATCTTGAAATATAAAATACTTTTTGTTAGCTTACAATACTTGATCATAAGGATACTAAATGATATTTCATATTGTCAGCTGTGTCTATGTACGTCTATGGACACTGAGGAGTGTTAGAAGAGTGGACTTTCATGGTGTTCAATTGTCTAAATGGTGTCGTTAAGAGTTTCTTCACTACAATATTTCTTGATTTTTTCCAGACTTGTTTTCTGTGTATCAAAAATAGGCAGCCTGCCATGGCAAATATAAACACCTGCTCTTTCAACAACATTTTTACTCATGCAATCAGTTTTTTTCACAAAACTCAATGAATACTAACATAAAAGGAAGATCAATTATGTTTACATATGGTTTCCAGATGTCTAAATTGTTCTTGAAAACCCCTTTGTAGAATATATTGTAAACGTTGACCTTCCATTTGCAGGAGAAAGCACTAGCAAGGAAGAGTGCCACAGCTTTCCAGTGTAAGACGCCGACATCACTGCCGAAACCTATGGTCAGATTAGAGAGGCTTGATCTTTCAGCCTTTTCGGGTGGCAAAGATTCCCCTGCAAGGGAAAGGCTTACGCTGAAGTTATCAAAAAGAAAGTCTGGTAATGATGATGAAGTTTATGACATTGTTAATAATGAGAATAGTGATAGTATCAGAATAAGGCGACCTGAAGAAATGAGAAGAGGCAGAGGTTAGCTTCTACCTTTGTAATAAGCTTCAGCTTTCTCATTATCTTGCTTCTAAGGCCGTTTAAATTTTGATGTTTTATTTTAATTTCATTTTGAACATTAAGATGATAGTTCACTAAACTGTGGGTATCATCACTGTCATACAAATGATATAAAAGATGTATGGGGCTTGAGTATTGGACTTCAATGCACAATTATTTGGAGAATAATGCACAATTAAGTTTGCTTGTCAAAATTTTGCTGTCTCTTGTGACCAAGTGACTGAACTAACTTTTTAGATCATAATTAATATTTTTCCATTCAATAGTCTCATTAGTTAATTGAACCGGTTTACTAGTCTTATAAAATTTACTTGTTAAGTCACTAGTCATTGAGCGACAGGGCTGCATTTTTCTATAATATAAACTTGCACTTTTAGATTTTTCTATTTAACTAGTTGAAATGCAAATCTGTGTCTTATTGTTTCTTTAAATGAAAATGTTTTCTTCTCTGTATTCATATGACTCTATTTTGCCGCTATTAGGACGACCCAGGAAACAACCAGATGAGATCCTGCCTGAGTTGAACCTTGATGAACCAATGACTCCAAGTCCACAATTGGTTAGAGGAAAGAAGAGGCCAAGATACAGTGAAATGTCAAGTAGCAGTAGTGAGAGTAGTAGTTCTGCAGCTGAAGTGGAAAGTATTGAAAGTGATGATAGTGACGGTTCTTCTGTTGAAGGTACGTGTATCTGAGGTCTTGTTACTGATTGCCTTGATTATCAACCTGAATGCCTTGATGCTCTTTAAAATGGTCAGATATTCACAAGTTCTGTTAGTGGGTGCCCTGAGTTCTTGCATGCAGTAACACTTGTACTATGTACTATACTGTAAATTCAATTTCATGTGAGAATACACTTAGTCTCCATGGCCTGTATTAAGGCATTCGGGGGAGGGGGGGTGGAGGTCATCCAGGGATTGGTCTTCATGTCCTGTTAAGTATGAAAACATTTAAGTGTCAGTAAAATGCATTGTATTTGCTAGCTACAGTCAACTTTGTTTTAAGTTTTGTGAAATTTGTTTTTAACACTACAATGCAAATCTATCATCAGATCATCGAAGGCGTAGGAAGAAAAGTGGGAAATCACGTCGTATAATGGATGATGAAGAAATGATGGAAAGTTCCACGTTCAAGAGATTCACTAATGCAATGGAAAGTGTATTTGAACAGTCTGAGGAAATGGATTTAACTGTTGATATGGGTAGGTTTAAACATTTTCAATATACACTTTCAGGATCTAACTAGTTTTTCTAGTCATCTTATCTTTGTTACCTCAAAAAATGTTGTACAAATGTAGGAAATTGTCTTTATTCTGTTCTGTAGATGATGAAGCCAATTGCTCACCTGACTTACTCATATCAAAAGGTTTACTCTATGAACTCAGCAGTCAAGCAGCCAAATTAAAATCTATGGAGGTTATGAATAAGGTAAGATTTCTTCTACAATAAATGTTACGTTATCTTCATCAGTGGTTAGTTAGTTAGGGTTACACTTAAAATCTTGTTTCACTAGTTTAATTTTTTATCTTATTGTAAAGTTATGCAAGTATTTTTTACTTTTTGCATTGATGACATTGTAATGAGCAATTCAATAAAATAGTGCTAACTTTAAGCAGGAGGGTTGTTACCTGCGCATGCGTGGGAATTGAGTCCCAAGCGACGATAACAACACACGCTAAAACTGCAAAGACTCGTGGTTAGACGCTTGTTTGTAAACAATTACACGCTATGGCCATCTGCCGCATGCGCAGGGGACGACTGCCCCGCTTTAATCACTGTTGCAAAGTTTCTAACATACTGCCACCTTAAAACATTTATGAGTAGCCAAAAGGAATTACTGATGTTTCTTCCTAGAAGTTGAGGCTCAATTCTGCTGTTTGCTTAATGTTTCAGATTGCCCCAGATAAACTTGTGAGGCTTTTAAATATATTGGAGAGAAATATTAGAGATGGGAGTAAACTACAACCAACCATGAACCAGGTTAGTCACATTTTGATAAATATGGTACAAATGTTTCCTCAAAACCTTAGAAAATGTGGTAATGTGAATGTAATAATTGTAATAATTCCCTTCCCAATTCACACTTTTGGGAGACTAAAGCTATGTCAACACCAATGTTCTGTTACACCAGGTAAATATGGCTGCCACAGTGCTTTGCACTGAGGTGTTCAATTGCATAATTAAAAAAAAACTCTTGACCAATCAGAACGATGTATGCATAATTGTGATTAAAATAACTTCTTAAAAGTTCCTTTAAGAAACTTAAAACATAAAATAAGATCAGCCTATTCAAAGTTCAATGCTTATATGAGTGAGTATATTCACAGGTTGATGAGGGTAAACATGAACAGAAATTGTGGCGCGAGTTGACAATGGATCGTGTTATGCGATCACTAGATGCAGGTCTAACATCAATGTATATCATGACTGCTGATAACATGCCAAAAGAAGTATATTTAGAAGATGTAATTGAAAGGTTGGCATCATTGGTGAAGTTCCAGCTTCTTAATACAATCTACCCAGAATATGATCCAGTGTATAGGATGTCATCCACTGATAGAGGTAATCACACAAATCATAATATTACAACGGGCGGGCCACTTGTACTAATTATTACATTTCACGGAAGCTATAAACATAGATGATATGTGAAATTGCCTCAGACCTCATTAGTCTTGCGTTAAGTTTGGTTCTTATTAATCACCTAATTTGTATATTAGTCAGGTTTTCTATCGATATCTAAACTTTTATTCATCTTATTTCACTGAATCATGGTACACAAATGCTCTAAGAAAATGTGGCAACCTAATTAGTTTTGGGTTCAAATATATTGGTAATTATTACCAAATTTCCTTAATCATTACATTGGAATAAATTATTGGTACATAGATGCATCAGGGATAATGCACAGACATTAGTTACAGGTTAAAATATCAATCACCTATTTTGCATAATACTAAACCAAATTTTCCCATCTATTTTTCAAAAAACAATTATTGCATTTCAATAAGACTTAATAATTATTGTAGCTTCCATAATAACTGCATTGATGTTTTTCTAAAGCACAAATCCGCTAAAAATTGCTGAATTCAGTGAATATAATACATGTATGCACAAATAAATGTATTGAAAATTATTCTGCTGCTTCTGGTCTTTGTAATAACAGGGACTTAACCATTGGTGTATAGGCGTATTTGGCTCTGAAATATACAATGGATTATTCTTGATTCTTTTCGTACAAAATAACCATTTCTGTACTATCATGTGGTCTTACTCTATTCAGATGGTTGTATGAGCAATATGAAAATGAAACGTGCCAGAGCACATGGTACAAAGGAGAAATCAGTTATAGCCATGTATAATAAACTGTGTGAACTTGTCTCCAATTTTGGTGATCTCCTAGAAGTTCAGACACTCACCGATACCACAGTATTACAAGTAAGTAGAGTGTCTATTTTTCACATTTCTTTAAATCACTTTTATTAATTATACTAATTTTATTTGTCTTTATTGGTGTCTGAGATATGAAAATAAATATTGTTGTAAACTAACATGGTACCTTAATATTAACATGACTTGCAGCAAGATATCTGTATTGAATGCAGAAATAATAATGTCATTCTTTCAGATCTCATCTATTGGCTTGGCTCCATTCTTTGTTGAGAATGTGAGTGAACTACAACTTAGTGCTATGAAACTTATCACAGGGGTAAGTGTAACGAAAAACGGTTTGATTTATTGTTTCCTTAGTTCCCACTGGACAGGAACTTAGGTTTTATATTCTGTTCATGCATTATTTCTCAGACGTGATTTTTTTTCAAAGTTAGTACGACAAATCATACTGATCTACATTTGCACAGTGACAGACTGGTTGCCATTTTTGGACCAAACATTTATATTTGAACATGTCATGATGAACATGATAGAGGCACATCATTTGGTTTTGCAAATTGATTTAAAATTGCCCATTGGTGCCATTTTGTTTAAATTTGATATTACATAATGGTTGCATGCTTACTGAAGTTGTCATGAAATTCAATGTACTGCCAGTCATTTCAGTCAACTAAATTTAAATATGTGATCTACCATTTCTTGGACTTGGCTTGACAGATATCTTGACAGTGTTGACTGTCTGTTTCATTAAGTTAATTGTTCAGATACTTTTTTTAAGGTATTCTCTAACTACGAAAAACACAGGCAGCTTATTTTAGAAGATATATTTGCATCACTAGCAAGACTTCCATCAAGCAAGAAGAATCTCAGGAACTTCAGGTAAAATTCAGTTAAAATCAGTATAATCTTAGTAAAACATTTGATAATATCACAAAGTATACAGTAATGTTGGTAGATGCAATTGCATACTCTGTCTGAATATATACCTTATTTCACAGATATCTCAATGAATACCACATAATTATGGTGCTGTAATTTTAGATAATAAAATGAAACTTGCTTGACTTAAAACATAGCAAACGCATTCAAGTACTTTTCTTTAATTTACACCAAGACATGCAATACATATTGATCACATCAAACAAATGAAAGTGAGGCAACTTGACATTCTAATCAAACCACCATCTCTTGCCGGACACAATGTATGTGTAAATGAAGTCTGATTAATAATGTGAAATTTCTTCAAAATTAGGCTAAATGCTGATCAGAATATTCAGATGGTGACTGCTTTAGTGTTACAGTTGATACAATGTATAGTAACACTGCCATGTGATGAAGAAAATGAACCTCGTGATGATGATGATGAAGATTCAGAAGATGAAAGAAAAGTGAGTCAATATTCTTAGATTTAATTATTGAATGAGGTTATCACACGAACATTCACATGACGAAGACGCACCCTGTATTTATATCGGGATTTTTTGTGTTCACTGGAAAGTCTCAACCCTACTGAATATGGTAAAATTATTGTAATTATAGCTTTTACAGAATTTCCAAAATGCCAATAATTATTCTATTTATTTCCAGGATGATGTTGATAAAGATGTTAGTATTTTAAGTCACTATGAGAGTGCTCTCAGAGTGTCGCAAAATTTCCTCTCAGTCTTCCTCAAAAAGTAAGTAAATGGAAAGGGATCTGTTTTTGAAAGTTCATATTAGTGTGATATTAGCCTCTAAGTTTATTACTGCGTTATTCTAGACCTTTTACAAAGAATAGTTTTAATTGCAGTATTATTATCTTAATAGGTGTACAAATAAAGATGAAGAAGACTACCGTCCATTGTTTGAAAATTTTGTTCAAGATTTGCTCTCCACTGTCAATAAACCAGAGTGGCCTGCTGCTGAGGTGTTCCTCAGTTTACTTGGTAGACTACTTGTAAGTACTGTTATTCACATGTATTCAAAAAAATGGAAAGAGCTCCTTATGACCCCTCACCTTTCAACCCTAATATCCTAACATTCCTTCCCCAGTATATTTGTATATGCACCTCCAGATAACTATAGGATGTCCTGAACAGGTGCATTTACAATTAAAATGAGGGAGGGGCACTGGAGGGGCAGATTTATGATTAGAGTTATTGAAACAAACAAAAATAATGCTTTATTGAAGGGAAACAGGCCTATTTTGTCCTAGACTATTAGTTTATTTACAAGAACTCTTGTGCTGCATGGTTCATTCAGACTTTCTTTTTTTTTTTTTTATTAAACAATATTTTTATTTAGTTTCAATGATATAAACATACAGCTAAAAACTTTCTGACATGAATATAACCTTCCTTCTCATATATATACATACTTGTTATTTGACCTGTTGATTGCCCGGAATTGACAATTCACAATTTTGTTCCTATATTTAGGTACATCATTTCAGTAACAGGTCTAACGATATGACCCTGAGAGTGTCCTCCTTGGATTATTTAGGCCTAGTTGCTAGTCGGTTGAGAAGAGATGCAGTCACAAGTCAACTTGATCAGCATACGATTGATTCTATTGTTAAAGGGGTAAGTAGATATAGTTAATATTTCGTGATGCTTAGCTGCATAATTACGAGTGTGGCTCTAAAAATGGAACTATGCTGATATGTCAACAGATCCTAGCATTGTGTTGCTTAGTTTTTTTCGCAAGCCACATCTGTCTACATCTGAACTTGATGCCATTAGATTTCATAACAATTGTTTACACATGTGTGGTTACTTATAAAATCTGGAAAATAAATTATTATATATAAAAGTTGACTTTGTCCTTCAAACAATTAATAAAAATTAAAATTAAGGGACTATTATTATTTACAGGGAAAAGAATCAGATAGTGATTCATCTTCAGATGAGAGTTCTGAATCGTCAGATAGTTCAGCAGATCATGTACAGTGTCTTCAGCGTGCAATGTTAAATTACCTAGCATATCATGGACAGAACGAGCCAGCTTTATTGGTAAGTTTATGCCAACTATTGTTTTGTTTGACGTCAGATAAAAAACTTATTTGCTTTAGTTTGAGGGTGGGGGTTGACCTCAAAAAGTTTCCATCCTACAAAAACGATTTTATTTTTTAATGAAGTCAAAAAATCTTGGAGTATTTGTAGTTCTTTTCTTTTTCTATTCATCATGG